TTATTGCTTCCAGGATTGGCTCCTGATTTTGCTCCTTACTGTGGATTTGACTCGAGTGTTGGTGATCCAATATTCACGATTGGAGCTCAAGGTATTGCTAAGGATCAAGTTGAGGCCGTAGAGAAGGCCATCGACGATACATTCCATGAAGTAATTGAGAATGGAATTGATCAAGGACTGATTGATACTGTTCTTCATAGCTTGGAGTTGTCCATCAAGAAAAAGTCTCCAAACTTTGGTGTCAATATTTGTTTTCCAGTGTTCTCAAATTGGATTCACAATGATGATCCAATTAGCACATTCAAAATTAACTATTACTTGGACAGACTGAGAAAGGAATTGGAAAATCCAAACTTCTTCAAAGATAAGATTAAGAAATACTTCCTCAATAATACTCATAAGGTCATCTTTGTGATGAATCCAGATCCCAATTACTTTGATAAGCAAGCCATGGAAGCAGCAAAGCTCGACTCAATTGTGATGGCGCTTTCTGACTCTGACAAGACACGAATCGTTGAGGAATATAAGGAAATGGAGGAAACCAAAGTTGAGCAGGCAAAGAATGTTGAGATTTTACCAACATTAACTGTAGATGATCTTTCGAGAAAAATTATTGATGTACAAATGGTTCAACTCGTGAAGGAAAAAGCCGAGCCTGAATTTCATATGAATGTTGTGAAAGGTACCAATGGAATTATTCACGTGACATCCATAGTTCCATTCTCTCTTGGCGAAGTTCCAGAACATTTACAAAAATCGTTCCAATATTTGGAGATGTAAGTAGGATTGAATTGAGAAATATGTTTCATTGACACAGAACATCGTAACCTTTGCCTTTGATATTCTATTGATTTAATAATGGTTTTATTTTCGAATCTATTCACAATGTAGCTTCTTGTAAGAGTGGGAACAAGCAAGTGGAATTACCTCCAACTCGCTCATCAAATTGAACTCTATACCGGTGGAGTTGATGCTCTCCTGTTCTCGTTCCAAGTCTCGAAAAAATCGATGAATTTTCGTTTGCTCTCAAATTTTCCTCTTATTGTTTGGAACGAAATGCAGAGAAAATGGTCGACTTGATGAGAGAAATTTACACAGATGTGAACTTCCTTGGAGATTTGAATTTCTTACAAAATTGCATTGATCAAGCTGCATCTGATGCTGCAAGTGGAATCTTACACAGTGGACATCACTATGCCAAAACTCATGCTGCTGCTAACATTTCATTCTATGATTCATTGATTAATGCCACGAGTGGAATTGATGCCATGAGGTTCTTGAAACAGCTCTCCACGGAAGCCAATACTGAACTCATTGCCACCTCACTTCAAGAACTTGTGCCTTATTTATTGAGAAAGAAAGATGAAAATTCTCATTACCTGCGAAGAGCACCAACGTGATCGAATGATGAGAATAATGGAAAGACATTTCTATGAAGCGATTGAAAATGAAACTGTGACGAGTGAGGCCAAGATGAAAGCTCAACTCGAATTTAAACCCAAATTTATCAACACTTATCTTTCCATTCCATCCTCGGTGAGTTTTGTGGGTAGAGCACTAGTGACTACACCATTTGCTACCAAGGACTCTGCCCTTCTTCGAGTGGTCTCTTCCATTCTACACTCCAATTATTTGCATCAGGAAGTGAGAGAACGCGGAGGCGCCTACGGCTCCAATGCCTCTCAAAGTATGAATGGCGTTTTCGTCATATAGGGATCCAAATCCAAATAGAACCATTGGTATTTGCTCCAATGTTGCCGAGTGGATTCAGATGAAAGACTCTGTCACTCCAAAAACAATTCAAGAAGCCAAGTTGCAAGTGTTCCAACATTTGGACTCACCTGTGACACCTCATGCTCACGCCCAGAGTAAAGTTGTATTTGGAATTGATGACGAGTTGAGACAATTCAGAAGAAATGTTATTTTAGATGCAACACGCAATGAAATTATTGACACGTGTGTGAAATATTTGAGTAATTCAAATGTTGCGACTACCATCATTGGTAATTTTGAAAAGGATATTTCAAACGAGACTCAAAGAAAATGGGTAGTTGTGAGGGAGGAAATGGATAATTCATTCAACGACATGCAAAGTAATAATACCATGACTCAGTAGTAGTGTTTGAAGAGTCGATCGTCAAGAGAAGGAAATAAAAGTTATTGAGCCAATTAATTCAATCTTGTGACATGTCCAAGCTCCATAATTATATAGAAATCCAGCAACAATATTGCAAATTTAAGTTTATTTACTTTCAAAGAGATCTTGAACAGCCTTCCTTAACTAGGAGGACAATTGCAGTAAGTTTGATCGTGGAAAGTTACTCAAGTTGGAAATGTATCTTCCTCTTCAACTTGACAAACAAGGTTTCACTTGCCCAAACTATGAACACAAGTAAAATTCAGCAAGATAGATCGTCTGAAGGCACATGTGCCGTTTCGTTAATGGCTGAAATTACACTTATTCGCCTAACCCTCAATACCTACACTCCTTATTGTATGAGAGGCAGACCAGTTAAGCAGACAGGACAAGTTGAACACAGACGACGGGGATTCAATCTCATCCAGAGTCTTAGAACATTGCAAACTTTGTTGCACATCCAGTTTTGAGAATGGAAGTGGCTGCTACTGGAGAAGGTAAAAGCAAAATCAGTTCTAATGACTGGTCAAGACTTCAGACCCACTCGGTCTGGGAAATGCGAGCCGCAGAATAAGAGTAATTATTGGATCATAATGGTGACCCTAATCAACTTTCAGAAGATCAACTAAAGCGCAAAGGTCGACTGATTGAAATAGCAAATGGTGGCAAGGAGCTTATTGGAATCGTTTTGTGAAATGTTGTCAAGAATATTACAATTCCACCGACCAAAAAGATTGTCTATACCTTTTTGGTCCACCTTTTTTCAATCACTGCCTATCAGGATATAATTGTAGAAATGCAGTTATTGCATTGCGAAACATAGCAAGACTGGCCAAAAAGTCAACTCCGGACTTCGAGGAGGTGTTTTAACTCAAAAAAATCAAAAAAATTTTGCCGTAAAGAATGAACTTGACACTTCAACCCCATCACTCATTATTCAATAATTAAAAACCTTTGTATGAATTTAAGCAACAAATACGTTCATTCCGTTCTATTCCATCATATAATTACAAAATCAAATATGTGACAAAAAACATACTTTGAAAAGTCTACTATTGTCTACATGGCTTCAAATGTACAGTATAACAATGTGATATTGCAGAACTTGCAAAAACTAAAAGGTCTTGAACATTTTAATTGGAGGGAATTGAAGCATCGAGTTTCTGAATATGGTATTTCACAAACATCCGACAGAGTGACAGCCAAATCAAGCATGTTGTCAGAAGATCAGTGTAACATAATTTTATAGAATATCGAAGTTGTGGCCGGTCTTGAGAAGCACACCCAAGAGAAATATTTGAAAATTTTGAATTTATTAAGGAATATCATTATTATCGTAGAATCAAAGCAAGAAGATTCAAATATACGGCTCAGAAATTAACACTTGAAAATAATACTTTTGGACAAGCTGATTATGGAATTTTTGTCATCATGTTATGGTTTGGATGAAAAGTTGTCTTTGTCAATTTTAAGCGCTCTCATTTGTTTCATCATGCTGTATTTAATAGAGTGATTAACAATGGTAGAGGCCGCAACAAAATTCATATCACGAAACAGCTGCTGTTGTGTATAATGGAGAAGAATTTTGACCTGCTTTGGATTTGAGAGAAAATATGGAGCCACGTATTGGAGTGAAAAACGGCTCAAGAAATTGTATTCATGGAATGCTTCTCATCTCAAAGAGTCTCCACAAGAACAACAATCATCAACAATCAAGTCAAGTGTCACAAAAGAAGAGAAACTTTAATTGAAAATTCAAAAACTCTCAATCCAATATTTTCCATTCTTTGCTTGAACCCAATGACTCAAGTGAGCATAATATAATTCCATCCTTGTGTCATATGATATCACTAAATTTGATGCAATGCAACAGTAAGGAACATTGTCAAAATCTTGAGGTAGATCCACTTGAAATCTTTTTCTAAGATTGTCTCCAACATTCTTTTGATTTACAGTCATATAATTTTTGGCCCATTCACCGTCTCCAAAGGAAGGAAAATTTGGATATTCAAATTCATTGATTATGTGACGATTAATTTCAGTGTCTCCTGTTCGATTGACCCAAGGAGAATATTGCTCTATTCTTGTATACTTTTGTGTTTCCATTGTACGACACATATACATATCAAAGGTTTGTTCTTTGGGCATGTTGTCGATGAATTGAATCACACAATGATGATTAGTTGTTTCGGTTATTTTTTGATGTTGTTTGATCAACCGATAGAGTTGTTGAGTTGACTCTGTGCATTAAAAAGTGAAAATTCAAGGAAAACAAGAAAAACCATGAAATCAAGCAAAAACAAGGGAAATTAATTCAACATCGATGTGCGAATTTGATCCAAATCGTGTTTTTCGTATTTGTTTCATTTTTGTCCTTTCTTTCAACACAGACAGTTGTATCTGCAAAGTAGACAAAAACTTTCAACAAGGATTCATAGTCATAGATTTTGAGATAGGTTGAGGTTAATCTGTGTGTCCAATGTTCAGAATATTGTTCTGCGCAAAATGTTGAAGTGCCTGCAAAGTTTGAGTGGTGTTCTTCAATCCTTACAGAGAATCCAAAATCAATTAATAATGGAGTACTATCTGTTTTCATTATATTTTGAGGCCTAATATCTCTATGTAACACACCTGCTTGGTGAAAACTTTTTACCAATTCCACCAAAGCTTTCATTTCTGATTTAGATAAAGATGTACAGGGATAACACTTTTCCATCACAATCCAATAATTTCCATGCTCAACAATTTTTGGAAGAGGATTCACT